CACGAAACGTGTGAGGGGTGTGCCGAAATGGGTGTGGGTGACGCATGCGGGCGCGGGCACTGGGGCCTTCGGTGGAGCTCCCTATGGAGCCACGAAACGTGTGAGGGGTGTGCCGAAATGGGTGTGGCTGACGCATGCGGGCGCGGGCACGAGGGAGGAGGGGGAAGAGGAGAAGAGGAGAGGAGAGGAGAGGAACGCGGGGCACCGTCTCTTCAAAACGAGGACCCAACACCACAGGATGGTTGGGAAAAACTGAAAGGGCGTTTGAAGCAGAAAGACACCATGACTGCAGGGTCGGAGATGGAGAAGGGGAAGCTGGGGCGGCGCCGCCAGGTCGCGCCTAAACGAAGGGGAAGAGGCAGGAGGTGAACGCAGAAGAATCTAAGATCGAGGTCGCACTCGAGCGCAAACGGGGTTGCCACACCTCGCGATATGTGTACAGGGGCCCCCCAAGAAACCTCAGGAGGCCCGACTTGGATACCGGAAGAGGCTCCAGGAGGCCACGGGATTGTGAGTGTTGCGTGTGTGTGTGTGTGATGTGTGCTCTGTGTTGTGCGTGCTTTCTGTGCGTTGTAGGTGTTGTGCGTTATGTTTGTCTAGCGTGTGATGTGTTGGGTGTCATTTGTGTCTCGGTGTGTGCGTGTAGTTCTGAAAATCATTGGCTCCCCTCACGCAGATCGCGACGTCAGGGTCCAAAACACATGGGAATTTCAACATTCTAACATAGAACCTTCAAAAACAAATGATAATTTCAATGATTTTGACCCTGATTCTCAGAAAATGCCTATTTCGCCTGAGACATCCTCCCAAAATCGAGCCCCGACGTACCTTCTGGAACCCCAGACCCCGCCTCGGAGCCTCTTGGGAGCATCCTGGAACCTCCTGTGGCCTCCTGGGGCTTTCTGAACCTTCTGGTACCCCAGACACCGCCTCGGAGCCTCCTGGGGGTCTTCTGGAACCTCCGGGGGCCTCCTGCGGCCTCCTGGAGCCTCTTGGGGCCTCCTGGAGCCTCCTGGGGTCTTCTGGGGCCTCCTGAGGCCGCCTGAGGCCTCCTGGGGCCTCCTGGGGCCTCAGAACTACATGCACACACACAGAGACACAAATCACACCCAACACATCACACGCTAGACAAACATAACACACACACACACAACACCTACAACGCACAGAAAGCACGCACAACACAGCACATATCACACACACAACACTCACAATCCCGGGGCCTCCTGGAGCCTCTTCCGGTATCCAAGTCGGGCCTCCTGAGGTTTCCTGGGGGGCCCCTGTACACATATCGCAAGGTGTGGCAACCCCACTTGCGCTCGAGTGCGACCTCGATCTTAGATTCTTCTGCGTTCACCTCCTGCCTCTTCCCCTTCTCTTAGGCACGACCTGGCGGCGCCGCCCCAGCTTCCCATTCTCCATCTCCGACCCTGCAGTCATGGTGTCTTTCTGCTTCAAACGCCCTTTCAGTTGTTTTTTGTATGAGCCTGGGCACACACGTGTCACTTGTGTATATATATATACAAATACACACAAGACTGCAGTGGCGCTTCGCGCCATGCACCTTGGTCCTTGAAGTTTGGTTTGCAGGCGGAATAGCAGGAAGATCAAGCCGACAATTTAGCGATAACTCCTTATTGGCTTTTCCGGCATCGCCGCTATGATAATGATATTCGTTATCCTTCCTCCATGTTTTTTTCCTCATGTTCGCCATACCCTGCGCATTCTCCCTATCCTCCTCAGTTTTTTTTGTGCGGAGGCTCCTCCTGGGAGAGCCTCTGGGGGCCTAAAACAAATTGTCTCAGGCTTTCTTAAGGCCTTCTGAAGGCTTCCTGGGCGTATTCTGGGGGCCTCTGGGGGCTTCCTGGGGCCACCCTGCCTCCAACCACGGTCTCCCTGAACGACCGGGTCACGATTTGGAATGCTTCGGAGGGTGTCTTGGGGCCATCTTGGGCCGCCATGGGGCTCTCTGAGGGCCATCTTGGACCCGTGTTGTGCCGTTTTGGGGCTCTCTTGGACTGCCTGGAAGCCCTTTCGGATGGTTGAGGGGCGATTTTGGAGCCTCCCAGGTGGCTTCGGACGCCCAGAAGACCGCCGTCTTGGAGCGTCGGGAAGCCGAAAAGAGGAGAACCCCAAAATTCACCAAAAACGACCAGAAAATAAATGATTTGTGCCTCTTGGGAGTGCTCTTGGAGGCCTCTTTGGGGCCGTCCTGGAGGCCTCTTGGGCCATCTTGAGGTCACGTCGGTCACTCTTGGAGCGCTCTTGCGCTGTCATGGGGGTCTCTGAGACGTCTCCGATGACCCCCCTGATCGCCCTAGGTGTGCTGGGAAGGCTTTGCAAAACGCCCTGCGAGGCCAGGGGGGCCGCTTCGAGGCCCGTCCGGAGGGTCCCAAAGCCCCAGATCCCGGGAGTCCAGTTTGGGGGGGGGGGATGGGTTTCCCCCCGACCGGGCTTATGAAAATATAGGAAGAGGAATATTCCTATTCTCATATTTTTATTAACCGGACCCCCCCCCAACACCCCCCCGGACCTCCCCCCTAAACCGGATCCTTCCCCCAGGGACGCTGCGGACGCCCTTTCGGACGTTTCGGCGGCCCCCTGGACGCCCTTGGAAAAGGTTCGGTGGCCCTTCCGGGCCTCCCAGGGCGCCTCGCTGGGCCTTGCGAGCCGACTGAAGGCGATTAGAGGGGTCGTCGGAGAGGCGCAAGAGAGACCCAAGACAGCGCAAGAGCGCTCCAAGAGGAACCTCGATGGTCTGAAGACGGCCCAAGAGGCCCCCAAGAGGCCGTTAAGAGAGCCCCGAAGAAACCAAAATCGTCACATTCCCTCAGGAAATACATTTGTTGAGCATATCCGCTTTCTGGGTCTTCGCAGCGTCCAAGACGGCCCAATGGGCTCCCAATCTCGCCCCAAGACGGCCCGGGAGGCCCCCTAGAGGGGTTGAAGGCGGCCCAAGGGGGCCCCAAGACTGCCCCAGAGAGCCCCGAGACTGCCCACAAGAAGCCCAAGATGCCCCCAGAAGGCTTCCAAGAGAGACCCACGAAAGCCATGGGATACCTCCAAGAACGGCACTGGAGGCCCGCAAGAGGGCCCTAAATGGCTTCAGAAGACCTCTGGAGGGCCCCAGCTCCCCAAGGCGGCCCAAGAAGCCACCAGGACGGCCCAAGAGTGCCCCAGGACGGCACAAAAGAGCACCAAAAAAGACCAGACGGCGTTCTCCTACGAAATACATCAAGCTGACCCGACGATCTTGGTTCCACGTTTGAGGCTCGAAGTTTCAGTGGCTACCCGATCGAGAGAGACAGGCAATGGATCTAGATTCGAAATTCGACGATCGAAGATTTCCTGAGTGCCTGGAGCCCTCCAGGCATTCGGGAAGCGATCAAACATCGATGTGTTCGGAGCTACTGTGACTTCTTCGGCGTGTCATGGGAACGCTCCTTACTTATTCAAAGGACCTTCGCGCGCGAAAACATCAGCATGATTTCCCCACTCCTGCGCACAAGCGTGCCAGCGCATCGTCCGAAAACGGTGTCAGCAGGCACCCGGGATATCGGAAAAATGGGCGGGTCGCCCGTCCAGGCCTCGAGGTCCTCCCTGCTGAAGAAAGCGATGAATTATTGCTTTGCCAGGGAAGCGTCCGGAACAAGGCGCATGGCGCGAAGCGCCAATGCAGTCTTGTATATATCTATATACAAATATAGACATACATACATACATACATACATACATACATACATACATACATACATACATATCACGCCCCGCTGGTGCTGACCGAACAGCAGCTTACGCTGTTGCGCATGCTCGCAAGAATCCCCGAAACGGCAAACGTGGCGGCGAGATACTTGAGCCTGGTATGGACGAACGCGGTAAATTCGAACCGAGAACTCGACTTCTTCTACGGTAGAGGGCAACAATTAGAGGACACCCCCTCTGTCCCAAACTAAAGGTTGGCACGCGCGGGGAAGACTGCGTTCAAAGTGCATCTCATTCATCCTACCGCCAATGGTGATCATTGGTGGGGGGGGGCATTGGCAGATGAATGTGGCATGCGTGTTCGCTAATTTCTTCCGAGAAGCAATACCACTGAGGGCGAACTCCCCTTGCCCGCCACAACGCATGTCGCGAAGGCGTGAATGAGCAGTAGTTGCTTCTTGCTGGCATCCGCTGCTCTCATGGAACACCTCGGCCTACGAATCTGACAACTCCCCCGTCGCCCTGCGCGTGCCTGTGCGCTGCCGTGCCGCCCCACCCCGAAGCGCCCCCCAAACAACTCAATACGGCCCAACACGGTGCAAGACACCCAGTAAGACGCCACAGCAAAGTGGCCAAAAGGCTTCAAATCTGCTCCGAAGACGCCCCTCAAAACACTCCAGACCTAAATGTCCAAAGTTGGTAGCTTCGTTGGAAGCATAATGACAAAACACGGGCACCACATTCGAATCCCAAAGCGATCTGAGACGAACCGCAACGACTGCAAAAGATCCGCCACCGTGCCTTCAGCACGTACTGGAATGCACCAATGCTCATGCATGTGCGAGGGTTCAAAGGATTATAGGCTCTACAGGCACAGGCCTCCAGGACGGTGAACCCGCCAAGAATGATCCCACGAACCGCCGACTCTGTGAAGAAACGTCCCAGACGGTAAGAGAGCGCCAGCACGGCCCACGAGGACCAAAAGACAGCCCACGATGGACTCAAGACAGCCCAAGAGGCCCGCACACAGGGTGTTGGCCAGGTGCGCCCATCGCCCTTCGTTGTTTTCCTCCTCGTTGACATCCGCCCGACCTGGCCACTGGTTCATCAAGGGGCCTCCCACCTTGGGTGCGAGTGGAGTGGATGGGGTCGGAGGATCGCGCCGCATCCCCGATGCATCGCCGATGAATTGGCTGGTGCCCGAACGATTGAGCCGCATCCCTTGGACTGCACGCGCTGTCGTGACGGCGGCGGCGGCTGACCCCCCTAACTGCAGGCGGCGCCGCTGGGCCGGCCGCCCGTAGACGTACGCCAAGAGCAGGGCGGCCCCCCAAAAGTCCAAGCCCTGCGCGATAGGACTTCTCTGCCTCATGCTCCTCCTCCGCCTCCACCTTTTGTCCCTTCTCCTCCTCCTCCACTTTTCTTGTTAGTTGTGTGATCTGTGTTGACTGCTATTTTAGTACGACTCCAACGACCTTTCTACATAGCATTAATCATAATACGTATTCCTAGTACGCGTCATGTTTAAAATTGGACTGGATCGTAGCATGATGAATATTGGTACGTCTACCATTATTTAACTTCGTATTATTCTTTACCGTATTCACACCCATCATCATCATCACCACCACCACCATCATCATCATCATCATCCTCATCATCATCATCATCATCATCATCATCATCATCATCACCATCATCATCATCATCATCATCATCATCATCATCAGCATCATCATCATCATCATAATCATCATCATCATCATC